GCAGTGGCTACGGGTACGCCAGCCGTCGGTCGTTGAAGCCCCTTTTTGGCGTTAGGGTTAGGGTTAGGGTTAGGGTTCTAGCTCATCTAAACTCTCAAATCGTGAATTTATTTCCCAAGGCGTTATTTCGAAATAATCTCGCCACCGCCGCCATCTTTGTCTCGTTAAGTATGAAAGCGAATGGACTCCCGTACCTGTAGCCTCGAGACATTAAGATACGGCTACCGTACCCGTAGCCACTGCCTACTTTTAATGACACTAACATAAACCAAAGATCATTATAAAAGAAATTTTTTGATGGTTTTAATTATTTTTCGTGAGCAGTTGTGACATTTACAATGCCACCAGTGCACACACGCAATGGTTTTCCTCTACTTTATGAGCATTTTTTGTCCATCTATACATTTTCCCTGCTTAGCACGTGCAAACCAACCTTGCGAGACACACTGCGACTCTTTGGGACATGCGAGGTGATTAGTACGTAGATGTTGATTCTTGTCCCATGTACAAGTTGCCATTTGCTATGGTGGGACACTGGAATAATGTCAGAGTAATCATGTGCCCTTATGCCAAATATGAACACACACGGCAGATCACGCGTAATACCACGGAACTCGCAATGGGTTTACAATGAAACACGAAAGCCACACATGAAAGCTATCTATCTAGGTATATGTAGTAATCTAGACATTAGTGATGGGAATCGGCTGGAATTTCATAATCAATTATCGGTTTCCCTTAACCGATCGATAATCGATTATAATCGGATAATCGGTTAATAATAGCATAGATTTAATTTAATCTTACTTTGTATATACAATTATACATAGCATTCAATATTATCATGTTTTATGATCATGTATTAACTCTGTGAAGGTTGCTGTATGTATATCAATGTCTGTTCCTATACAGTATTTAATCAATTTAAGAAGAAATGGTTTAAATACCTTTATTAAAACATTAAAAGTTTTAAACAAACATGATCAAGACTTGTTCTTTATTATAGTAAAGTAAGTTTTTTGTGTTCTAATAGTGTAGGCTGTGTAGCCGAGTTAATGTCCTGCCAATGGAATATATCCTCTCCAACACAATGTAACAAACAATACGGAGAGTAGAATCTTATCTACAGATAACATCTGTGGGACAGTGTCAAACCAAAACAAAGATTATTCCAATCTTTAAAAAAAAATAAAAAATTATCAATTTAAAAAAAAGAAGAAGCTATTTCCGATAATCGATTATTTGTTTTCATAATCGATTATCGAATTTGAGACTATAATCGATCATCGGGACATCACTACTACACATGCTTAATGAATTTATTCATTATCTATAATGTATTATAATTATATCTAATATATTTTGATATCATGTTTTTCTAACCATGGCTTAGTTGTGTTACAATGAAAAATGCTTATACAACAATCTCTACAGCTTGACATAGACAGATCGGCTGTCGAGTCTTGCTCTAGTAAATAGTTTACATCCACGGCGAAAGCAAAGTATTTTATATGATAAAATGGAACCCATTTATCAAAATGGATCCATCCATCCAAATGGAAAACCATTTCAAACGTATACATGTACGTGTATATGTATGTATATATATCAATAGCTCAAGAGTATGACATCGTTTTAACAGCGTTTTGCATAGTTTTCAACTTGTAAATATTCTATCAATAAATTATGTGAATAAATATATTCAAACTTTACCTTGTTTTTGTCTATGATTCTCTCTTAATCATATGACACCACCAATTTACCTGAAAATCGTATGTGTTCTTCAAAAAAGTTCTTTGAATACGACACGGTTTCACACAGTTTTCCCAAATGATCGCATGTATTCGGCGCAAGTTTATGAAATCGGATTAGTGTTCTATTGTCTATGACGGAACGCTGGGGGCTGTTGGGGATATTAGGCATCGAATTGCAGGCTTTCAGATTTGAAAAGTACAGGAGGACTACTAATGACTCCCCTAGAACACCATAGGGGGACTTTTCACGCTCCATAATCACACCCTTAAGAGGCATGATGGAGAGCTCCATTAAAAAATCACACCCTTAAGAGGCATGATGGAGAGCTCCATTAAAAAATCACACCCTTAAGAAGCATGATGGAGAGCTCCACTAAAAATCACACCCTTAAAAGGTCTGCCATTGTTTTAAGGTACGACGAAGGGTGTATGAAAGCTGCATTCTCATTGGCTACTGAAACTAGAGTTGGACTAGAATAGATACTCCAGTCAGGGCTCGCGATCCATTGCAACATTGACAACTCTATGGACAGGGAAAACTAGCCTCAAGGTCACACGTGATCGTTTGATGTACATGATCGATCGATCGCGTACTATATATACGGCCTGCGTAGCACGCGCGGCATACACACACACACACACACTTGCAGCGTCAAATAAACGCACACACTGGCCAACGTCTGACAATCTCAAACAGTGAACTAAGCCGTGTCTATATTGTATAACGAACTATATTACAATCTTACTATAATTTGGCGAATGTTGTATGTATGTATGTATGTTAAAGAAAGGCTCCGTCAGTTTGGATTCAAATAGCGCCAAATTCACAGAAGAGATCGATGAGTACACGGGACGGGTTCTAAACTATAC